TAAAGCCATGCAGCTCCCCATAACAGCTCATCCTGCAGTAAATTAAGGAAAGAAAAATGAAAAATAATTATCTCATAATTTAATTATTAATTACTTGTACAATATTTTCATATTTTGCCTTCATGTTTATAACAATATAATAAACATTTTTTTTTTAAACGTACGCTCTAACACTTACCTTGTAGCCGGAGTATGAGCAATAGTAAGGGCAAACAGCCGATCCAAGTGAATCACTATAGGATCCTCTATACTGAATTGCAAACTGCATAACATTCTTAGCAGTTTTCAACAGCAATTTCGAGTAAACCGGATCAACTTTTCGAAAAACCATCGAAGCCGCCGCCAATGCCGCTGCTGTTTCTCCGGCGACGTCTGATCCCGGATTGCTCGGTGATACCGAATACACACTTCGGACAGTGTCCATGTCCTCTGGCCTCTCCCAACACTTATGGTCTGCACTCGGGTCACCCACGCCGACGTAGAGCCGGCCGCTGGTTGCGGTTGCACACTTGAGGAGGTAGTCGGTGGCCCAACGGATGGCGGTTCGTGCAGATTGTAATTGGGGGCCCATTTTCTTGCCATATTCAAGAGTGGACCATGATAGCATTGTGGTGGTAAAGGACATTGGGAAATTGAACTTTAGGTTGTCTCCGGCATCATGATAGCCTCCGGTTAAGTCCACCTAACGTGCCAAAATAATTAATGTAAGAAACAGAATTTTATGTTTAAAAACAGGGAAAAGAAAAGAAACGGAAATGATTGGTCGTCATGGAATATGATTGAGGATTATTATTTTTCTGTTAAAAAATTGTGACTAGGAATTATAGTTGAAACAGGGCTATCAACTGTCTAGGGACATAATATTTTCCACACTACAATAGTATAAGCTTTGAAAACAGAAATAATTAAGAGGTCATGCGTGAAAGAAATAACATTATTTCATTGTTTTCAATCATGTCACCGAAATTTTTTTGGAGCAAGAATTATTAAGGTCTTGTTTGAGCCATATTT